GGCGGAAGTTCCTTACTTCCTATATGACAGTACACAATTTAAAGTTTTTTAAAGTGGATTGTGTGGTTGTTTTGTGACTAAACCGTATTTGTTTTTTCATTTTATTGACTTCATTAGGCTTTTTTCTAATTAAAAATGCCACAAAGGTGTCTTGTAGTTGATTTTAAAAGGCGTTTCAACAAGGATGATGTCAGGTTGTTTTCAGTGCCCAACCTTTCAAATTTTTCCAATTAAAACGTAAAAATTATTCAGTACCACTGTTCCTACATCTAAAATAAAGCCATACGCGAAATACTTGTAAGAATCTAAGCTTTTATAGGCCTTAATTTGCTCATTGCTGTAAAAACTAGGTCAAAATGTAAACAAATGTCAACTAGACATTTTTTCAAACTTATCGTTCGCCCACATCCCGATTTTCCTGCACTAAAGTCTTCGAATATTCACTCTGCATCTCAAAAAGTATATTATAACAAAATAAACTGTAATTAGCTCGAAAATATTTCAAATAAGCTCAAGATAAACAAACAAACGTCAAATTTTCCACGCTCGCCATATTGAAAAATCACGTGGTTTGGAGAGCCTAATTGCGTATTGTGACACTAGTATATTCTCAAGTGAACCAAATTCCGTCGTTACCGGAGGCGACGTAATAAGAATGAGATAGGTCTTAGGGGTCGTATTTTCGAATATTCTCGCATACGAAATTTGATACGATTTCGAATGCTCCCCATTTAATTTAATTTACATTGCTATCAGTCAAATTTCGAAATACGAAAATACGACCCCAACCTGTTGATAACGCACAATACCCACAGATCTGCCGCCGAATATTCGGCGCTACAAACAAAAGCGTGGCCTAATCAATTTGATTACAATACAGAGTAATATACAGTGGACTAAATCATTTTATTCAGATACGAATGAAATAATAGTATTTCACATTATAACTAGGTGGCTAACTGTCGTTTAAAAGAAGTGACTACGCTTCCCAAACTCAGCGACATCTTCAAGAGAAGTGCTGAACACACGTTTGGTTTGAGATTTGTTGAAAATGACAGCAATCACCTCCTTGTTTGGCGGATTTTGGTTAATTTTGGAATAAAAACATTATAAATTTTCGGCAGTTCTGTTATTTTCATTTATTCTCTATGTGTTTATCCCTTTTTCATTTAAATCCGTGACCAAAATTTGCATACTATTGTCAACTGTTGTTACCGGTGAGTTACAGAAAGCCAATTAGTCAATATATTATATAAAGACACCCCAAAAGCTGACGTTATTCGAGTATGCACTCAAGGCGGCGTTCTATCGCCTTGATAGCTGTACACAACTGGTGCGAGGAAGCAAATCTCATGATGAACGCTAGAAAGACCACGATAGTCATAGGCGTATCCAGGGGCTGCAAAAAATTGAAATGAAATTTATTTATTTTTATAATAAGGTTTTTTTATGGTAAGCGCCTAATCCAGTGAGGGAATCAGTGCTTCATCTTAATCATCTTGAATGTCCGAAATACTTCCTTCCTCAGAAGAGAAGGGGCTCCGTGATGAAAATGTCTCCTCTTACCAAAATAAAGCGAATAAGTGGTCCGATGCGAACATTTTTGTCGCCTCGTAAAAAAGAATAGGTGCGAATCATTTGGGTATGTTACAGGTCAATTTTGACAAAAATAGGCAACTTTCAAATTTTCAAATTATAATGAGGCCTATGATGTATCCTCTCCTGTTATTTTAACAGCTATGTTATAGCTCAACATCTATACCTCTCTCTATTTTGACGTATATAATGAACAGTGACAGACAACTTAATGTTGCTGTTAAAATAACAGAATATGATACATCATAGGCCTGAATGTCAGTCATTCTGATAACATCAGTATACTTTTTTTTTTCCAAAAAACGCTTATTTTTGAAAATAAAATGATTTGAAAATCGAATTTTTAAACTACTGTGAAAACGCGGGATAGGAGAGGGACGTCACTCTCCCATACATGCGAGAATGCCGAATTTCTCATTAGTAAACCATTCCCAAACATGGCCGACATAAAACTATTCACAACCTATGACATATTTTTGTCCTTTACTAGTGCGCAGCGACCGCAGCGTTTTTTTTTGTTGTTAACAGAGCCTCCCCAAACCAAAATCCTGGATACGCCAATGACGATAGTACGTTTCACTAGACGAAGGAAAAGGGGGGAAAACAACCTAAGCATCTTCAGAGAAAGGATTATAATAGTTGCCGAAGTGAAATACCTAGGTCTAATCCTGAACCACAAGTTAACATGGAAGTCACATCTAGAGGGAAACCTCAACAAAGCAAAAATGTGTCTAGTTATAAATAGATGCAGAAGTCTCTTCTTTTGGAAAAAAACATGGGGTCTGGGACCAATGATGATGCTATGGCTGTACACCAGTTATCAGACCCATAGTGGTATACGGAGCTGCAATATGGTGGACAAAAGCACAAGTAATGACTGTCAATAAACTGAACAGCCTTCAGAAACTGGCATGTCTGGTGCACCAGCGGGGCTATGAGAAGCCCACCCACTGCAGTGCTGGAAGCAATTCTGGGGCTAGCTCCCCTCAATGTTCACATTAAAATAGCAGCCATAGTTAACGCCCGGCGGAAGAGGGTTGCCGGAGTATGGAAAGAAACCCCAGGCATTCCGGCAACTTCGCCACGGTCACACAAAGGTTATCGACATAGACGATAACATAGTGCTGCAAATGGAAACGGATCAAATGGTGGTAACTCATAAGTTTAGTTTGAAAAACCTGTGATCCAAGCATCATTTAATAAGAAAAGACGCCCGGTATTCTTGTAGTCTAAAACGCTCGGCGTTTTTGACGCGACCACTCTGTGGCGTGACAGTCGCTTAGCACCACTTAAAAACGTGCGATAGGTATTCTCGTTCTCTTAACGCTATGCGTTTTTCGTAAGCGAGGAGTTTACTTTTTCCACTTGTTGATTTTCTATGGACCGCGTTTCTGATGAAACGTTAAGTTTTCGGGGGTGCTTAGCGAATCGCACGGCATGCGCCTCGCATGTTATACAAAGGGCTCCAAAACAGCAGATGGCGGATGGCAAAGCATCCCTCTGGGGCTTAACGCCACAGTTCACCAGGTAGAAATTCATGTAGTTCAAGCATGCACACAGAAGATTCCAACCAGAATATAAGCATTCAGACAGTCAGGCTGCTCTAAAATCTAACTCACATCAATTTACTTTGAAAATAACGATGAAATGCCTACACGACCTTGAAGCTCTGTCCTCAAGGAATAACAGATCTCATCAAAGAGACGAAAGTTGCTTAAGCAAGACAGGGGCGTAGCCGTAGCACAATAAGCCATAAGGCTGTAGTGCAAATCGGAAGACGAGCACGCCTCACCCCGCCTTAAATCAACCAACAGATTTTTCACCCTTGCTTTTCGTATACAGGGTGTCCGGAAAGTCAATGATAATACTGAAAGGGCTGATAGAGCAACTCATTAGCATCCAGAAAAACATAATATGACCTTGGTAAAAAATCGATGGTTTCTGAGATATTATCACTTTAATGAAATTCGTTAAAATCGTCCTCTTGGATCAGATTTGAGCGAGTGTCACCTTAAAATTTTCAATAGGTCTGTTCGTACAGAAATCACAAACCAGTCAGACTGCATTTCATTGGTTGAAACTAGTTTCCTGACTGTTTCTGACTGTTTTCAACCAATCAAATTCGCTCTGACTGGTTGGTGATTGCTGTGCGAACAGGCCTATTATTCTCAGATTCTGAATAGTATTAGAAAGAACATTAAATGAGCAAAGTTTCCGAATCATTAGCCAAGTTAGCGTAGAATTTTTTTTGTATGTTATAAGGTGTGAAACTTGAGTGATGGAAAATAAAAATAAATCATACTTCACTTTAAAAAGATACTTTATTAAATGTTTTGAGCTTTGACTTTTAATGTTGGTCTATGACCAATGAAATGCCTTTTCACCATTGCAAAATTAAATTGAGAATCTAAGAATATCGAAAATTTTAAGGTGATTAGGAGAAAATCTGCCCCCGGATTTTATTTTACAAGTCGAATTGTCTCGATATCGAATACGACAGCTCCGGACGTACCGTGTAATATGCATGGAAAATTCGAAAAATAGAATCGCTATTTTGACAATGCGATACGAATTTCGACTCGGCTCGTAAAATAGAATCTGGGCTCTGATCCAAGAGGACGATTTTAACGAATTTTAATAAAGTGACAATATTTCGGAAACCATTGATTTTTTACTATAAGGTCATATGTTTTTCTGGCTGCTAATGAGTTGCTCCATCAGCACTTTTCAGTATTATCGTTGACTTTCCGGACACCCTGTAGAGAGGTATAGAGTGATCTTCAACTCTTCTATTGCGGGTTTCAAGAATGAAGAATTTCCAGTCAGTCTCTGGCTAGAGTTGAATTTGGTGAGCTGTAGCTGTTGAGATTTCATAGTATGAGACTTTCAGTGATACTATATGGCTAAAATCTTGAAACTGCCTACTTATAAAACCTATCATTTCAAAAGCAATAAGATAAACTTCGTTATTGACTATCACTGGTCATTTAACTGAGTCAACTCTTGTAATTTCCAATGTAATACAGATATCAAGAAGATCAGGTCGCACATTGGCATTTGAGCCGAAAGTGCAAGAAACACAAATGTTCAGTATCAGATAAAAACTGAGATTGACTACGTTTATTTCATGAGTTGTATCCGGATACTAAGTGGATTAGAGTTTATACGGAACGGAGTACTTAATCCAATCCTCTAAATTTGTTGGATTGGACTTAAAATGGATTATCCAAAATGTGAAATAAACACCTTCATCTCGGATTTAAGAAGTTTGTTGCCATCTTCAAGAAAAAATTACATTTATAATTTTATTTGAGTATTGATGTTAATGAGATTAGACAAATAAACGTAGTCATTGATTGTAAGATTTCTGGATGATTCCAAATTTTACTTACCAGCTGCTGCACAAGGCTCCAATTGCCTGATATTGGTGGTTGTTGTAGTTCTAACGCCTCCTGCAGGAGTTCTGCTAGTTACAGTAGACGTGGATTTTATAACAGGCTTGCCGCCAGTGTATCTTGGTAGTTGAGACATTTTAAATTTATCACTTTGAATTTCTCTTCGAGTCTATTTTTTTTTTGAACATATGACAGAAATTTGGAATGTGACACATTTGTCTCGGATACAAGTAGTAAAACGAATTCAGGCAGGGTGGCAAATACAAAACAGCCTCTTTGTTCACCGATATAACTTCTCCAATACTTAGGAATTGTTAAATTCTCTAAGCTATTGATGAATTTTAGGTTCGGTTAGGGCAAGTTACTTTTTAGAAATACAAACTTTTTGAAGCAGGGATTTTAATAGTCGAAGTACAAATGAATAAAGGCGAATTTTCGTTCGTTATGGCTTAAATAAAATAATGTAAATGTATAGTCAGCAGTTCTAATCGTGTGGGTTACTTGAACTCGGATTGTCGTTACAGGTCTTCATCATGAGAGGCCGTGTACAGGGTGTCCATAACTGGTGGTATGAAGTTATGAAAATCAAACAAAGTATTTGTGTAACATGCATCTATATTTAAACATCACTTTACATTTTTTTTTCTTATTTTTTTTATTACAAAAAGAAAAACAGAAACTATGACACTATTTTTAATCATAAAATTAATTAACGGGTTGTTTTTTAAAAGTGACAAGAACCCTTATCACGATGTAAATGGAACGTATACACACACACTGCCAATTCCTAACGGATTTTACTCATTATAGTTCTCCCAAAAATTTCAAATAAAAAGTAATTCGTTTTTGTTAACAATAAATAAGTTTGATATTAATAAAACATAATAACTCCCTTGGGTAACCATATAGGAACATACAACAATTTGATTAAACATTAACGTGTATACGTACAAGCCAGTTATAAGGAATATGATAGTACCCCCATCTGAAAGAAGTCAATATCATACAAAAAAACAGTTGATAAGGACTTTATCACAGCTTAGAAACGTCACATCCACTGCGGAGTGACAAAATACAAAAAAAAAATCAAAATTTAGCGCAAATCTTCGAAATTTTTATGTAAGGGAATATGGGACAATGACAATAACTAGAAAAAAAAATCAGTCAAAAATATACCATTACCATTATAGCAAACTAATTTGTTCTATATGGAAAAAAATATTTTAATATATTTACAGGGTGAACCAGAAAGCTTGCAATGAAGGTACTGGGCCAATCTGTGGTATATTTGACACATTCTTTTGAAAACTCAAGTATGAGAAAGCATTCTATTCTACAATAATCATAAAGCTAAAAATTTTCCTTTGGGATAACCTGGCGAACTTTTTAAAAGTAAATATGTTTGATTAATCTTCATCGGCTACCCTTAGAGGATTGTTCCAACAAGCAAGAATCTGTACAACGCCTTGTTGGAACAAACCATTTATTTGTTCTTAATATGCCGAAATTTACGTATCTTTTCTTTTAAATATAAAAATATTTTACACTTATCTTTTTTGCAATTATGTGCAAACGCGCTACTTTTTAAAGGAAAATGCGCCTAACAACAATCAGCAAACAAAAACATTATTGTCATATTTATAAGGTTAACTAAGTGACAGGTATCGTTGTCTTATTTGGGTATTTTAAAAATTACCGAAGATTCACACTATTCGATAGTATAGCGTTACCTTAAATTAATCATGTCTCGACTATGTCATAGAATACAAATGGTAAAATTGCGTTTTAATATCTACAAAAGAGACATAAAATGGGGTGATTTGTTTTCTAAAATATGCCTCCAACCATTGGTAGTCAAATAAGACTGAAATAAAATGATTTTAATTTGAAAAAAAGCTATTTCACAAAATATGTATGTACTTACAAATGAAGTATTTACAACTATGTATGAACCACATCCAACAATGAATCCTTCTGTCGATAATCTGCTTTGTGCATTGTATTGAACGATATTGACCCGTACAGACCAGCACCAGACATGGCTGGCAATTCCCTTGGAAGGCTGCTATCCCTACTTCTGAAGTTGATTTTTTCATAATGCGTTGGACTAGTGGGATCCGAGTCCGAGCCTTCAAACCCATCGCCTCTGTCCTCGGCCAGGACATTCGTAGACGATGGCACTATCCTTATTTCTTGTTTCTGTAGTATGTATTTAAAAAACTCGTAGGTGGACCAGCAAATCGCTGTCGCAGGCATTTGGAACATTATTCTAGAAAGTAGAAATAATTGATAAATGTTGGTTTTTGCTTGGTTACTGGCTAACTTAAACTACTCGGTTAAAACCGCTCCGCCTGTTTTAGGTCTGATAAAAGCCATATTGCGGAACTTTTCAAGGACGGACAATGCTGATAAAAACTGCATTAGGATACAGAGGCGTTAAATATCAAAGAGACAAATCATAAAGCAAAATAAAGAAAATGTATCCCTACAAGTTGATTTAACACTGAGCTGACGCTGTTTCTTGTAGAGAGTTAGAGGATGAAGAAGAAATGTGCTCTTTTGCAAAACAATAATGAGAAGCTAGATGAAACAATTATTGAAACTCAAAAAAGGGGCATTGTTGAATACCTGGATGATCTTTAAAATTCCAGACATGAGCTTGAAAGACTGTCAAAGTCGATGAGTTAGCAACAGGACGAACAGAACGATCTGTGCATAAGTATAGGTATGAAAAAATCAATCAATTTAATCATGTGATTTTTCTCGGGATATTCGCCTTTGTGGGTCTACCCTGGTGCCATATTCGGTTTTTGATACTAAATCAACTCAAACTTCTTTAATTATGGGAAAGGACCGCTGAGGCTACTAACACTACCTGGTGATTTCAGACTAATCAACTCAAACTTTGGTAAATTATAATACTAAACTTTGTTAATACTATGATAGTCTAGTAGGATAATGCAGAAAAACTCATCATCACTAAATAAAAAATCAACCGAGAAGATAACACCAAATCAATCAGACGTAAATGATGCTGAAAGAAGTAACTATTCGTTAGCAAAAGAAAAACGACAAATCTATTCCGCTGACTCTAATTTAGACTTGGCGAAGAATATGCTGTTCGTGTCTTATTAAGGAATCTATTAATTTTAGATGTGACATAAACACCCAACAGTATTGGGACGGGTTTCTAGAAAAGTTTAAGGCTCATATAACACTTAGTCGCAAATTTACCAAAGATGATTGTGCTTTTGAATTCCAATAATGTTTTGAATGATAGACCAATAGCGTTTCTTAAATAATTTTTTGCATGAGCATATGGAACGTTGGCACATTACTCGAGATTTTATAGAGGACAGAACAATTCATCCACAGTTACAACCCATCAGTTAAAAAAACTGTCTGCAGTATGGGGGTGAGTGTTGGTTTTCACCTTACGAAAACTTTATTAAAGAAAAAGGCTTATGAGATAGATTATATGGGATGTAATAATTCTGCGTTCCATGAGGGGTATGCCCAAACCCCCAACCAAGACCTCAGTCCCAGAAACTTAGCGAAACAGAATTCCAACTAAACTATCTTTGGAGGACTTGGACCAAGTCACAGATCACTTCAGGTGCCGCATGTCTGGACAATTGGAAAGGGACGCCAATCTACCTATAGCCCAGTCAAATAATGCAAAATTAGGGCAATCGGTGGAAAAAATTCCTAGAGTTGATTTTTTTTTTAAACGCTTTCTTTCCACTTGGGTAGACATATTATGTCAAAAGTCCTCGAGGGTGGGGGGTGAGTTCGAGGAGGGGGTAGGGGTTAAAGGTACCATTTTTCAGTTTTTCGCCTAAATCTCAAAAACGATCACTCCGGCCAGGATGATATTTGCTTGTACTTAAAGTAAGAGCTATTACTTCCTAGTAATTTGTGGAGTATATTCTTTTACATGAAGTAAAACTCTTTTATGGGAAGTGTTTACTCAGGTTAGAAGTATAAACTAGTAGTAAATACTAGGACGTGTTGAACCTCAAATAGGTTTTTTTTTGTTTCTTATGTGGGTACAATCTATCGTTCCTATTTCCCCAAGTATTGTCCAGCCATCTTTAGCTAATTCAACGTCGCGGGCATTTTGAGGAAAAGAAATCTAAACATTTTTATTTTACACAATTTTTTGTGAAACTTCTTTAATTACTTTTGACACGGTTGTTTAATGTACCCCGACATCTACATCAACTCCTTGTTGAAATCCAGGATCACTTAGGGCCGGTATTGGTATTATAATATCCGATTGACCGATGGTTCAGTTTCAACCGAGGTTTCAACCTTCGGTCAACAACTGAACATTATAATACCGACCCTTAGATTCCTTGAAAATAATATCTCCATCACATATTTCCTTCCTTGTCTTATTATTATAATTATTTAAAAAACCCATTTATAACGCCTTTTCAATCGAAGCCATTGTGCCATTGATAAGAAGTTACTCTTGAGTAGCTTCTCAAAAACTACACCGAATGGAGGAAATACTAGAAATCATTAGTAATTTCTGCAGTATAAACTTCTATAAATAATTATATTGAAATAAATAGAGCAAAGTATAAAGTAATTGCTTCTAGTACTTATTTTAAGAATTCTGAGGAGTAATGCTATAATTTTTTGAAGTGAAAACTATAAACTGGAGCATTTACTTGAAGTAAAAGCAAATACTCTTTTAAATCATACCGCCCAGTATCTCGAAGATCATCGTAGTGTTCACGTGTGGACGTTTTGTTAGTTTTTTGTTTAGTTTCGTATTTAGTTGCCAATCGCGTCGTGCTGTGTGTGCCGAGATTGTGACTTCAGTTCCACCCCCCGCGTCATAATGGCTGAAAGGTGCTTGGTATGTGATGAACCTGTTGAGAGGGATAGGAGTGTTGTGAGTGAGAAAGGTATGGAAGGACTGCCTAAAGCCAGCATTGCAAGAAATGATGGCAAGAGCTCGGTTTTTGAGAACAAAACACGTGAAATTGTTCACAACTCCTGTCGAAAGCGTTAGACCAGGCCACAATCTGTTGCTTCCGATTTAAAAAACGCAGAAGTCGAGTCCCAAAGCTTAGCAGGGAGCTGTCGACGATCCAAGGGTCCTACATTTGACTTCAAGACTAAGTGGAAACAGAAAAAAAATCATTGGAAAAGCGGGAGGCAGTATTTGAAGTGCGCAGCGCAGTTTGGACATGAGGAATACCACTTTAAAAGCTGCTATTTACGATGACCTGTGCTGTGTCAAATTTTTCTCAAAAAAACGTGGTACTGGTGAAAAAAGAGGACGTCCCCCAGAAGACTACAAGATGGCTGCTATGGAAGATATCTACACTTTTCTCGATCAGGCAATTGACTGTCTGTATTCGATGGATGAGGTTATAAGCGCAATTAGGCAATCCAAACCACGTGACTTTTGCCAACCAGCCGGCATTTTGAAATTTTTATGAGGTTAGAATACGGGTTGTTACATGTCAACGATGACAGTATTGATAAAGCCTAGTACTCATAAGCGCGAAATTCGCTGTTTTTTGACATTGATTCGACAATTTGACGTTTTATGTGTGAAACAAACGTCAAAAAAAAAAAAAACAAATTTCGCGGTTATGAGTACTAGGCTTAATCCCGTCAAAATAAAAACATATGTTTTTGTTTATTGTTTGCCAACCAGACGCCATTTGGACAGGTCGTTGGATTGCCTAATTAAGAGAGAAAAGACAACACTTGAAACAGTAAAAGAAAAGCTGCAGGAAAAGTATACGGAACGTTTAACAATCAGTCATCCACATTCTCACAAGACCGTTCTGTGCTTTAAAGAGGTTTGTGACAAAATTTTAAACTCAGCCTGGTACGAAAGCAGCATGAGGGGGAAAATGGCAGAAGAAGAACGCCTTAGAGTAAGTTCGAGCTGCGGCTGCAATCATTAAAGAAGAAATACAGAGCCGAGCGTACGACACTAGTCAATACCCTGAAAGTGAAGATTTTCTCCAACTATCTTGACTTTCTTTGAAACACTTCGAACTTCAAGGTACCAAAACAAAGAGAAAAACGAAAAAAAATCCGTGTCTCTCTCCCATGCTGTCATAACTGCTGTACGTCCTCGATCCTTCATTTCGCCTATCATGCATGGCATAGCCTTTTTCATACATCGGAAGTATGGAGCCAAAACCCTGGTCAACTTGCTGGCGAATTTTGGCTTCAGTGCCTGTTATAATGATATATAAACTGCTTAATTCGCTTTTCTTTATTATAAATATCGCTGCCCGCCTAGAATAGTTAGTCAGTTGAATTGTAATTATATTTCTTATTTGAAACTTTGTAACGCGAACGCGAAAGTATTTCTCTATTGTAATTTAGTGAATAAATTGTTTTTTAAAAACTTGTTATCGGCCTACGTATTGATAACTGGCGCAGTCGGTAGGATTTTTTGTTTTTGGAACTGGTTTACGAACTTTTCGGAAATCGGACTAACCGGGAACTCGAATCTACACCCTTGTGTGAAAATCGTGTTAAGTGTTTGCGAGAAGTGTCGGAGTGGCTTTACGAAATCGAAAACCAAAGAACTGCCTTCAAGCAATCGGATTATTGGACCAAAATAGCCAATATTCGCGAGACCAGGATTAATTTGGAAGGATAAACATAGCCTACCAGAAATTCTTGGCCTTATAAATGTTGCTCTACGGAATAATCTTCATGTAAGTGCAATGTGCAATTTGTAATTTCTTTAATGTCTGATATTGATGAATTAACAGAAAGATTATTATCTCTATCTCTACCTTCAACTGACTCACCTTCTGATACAGAAGAGTTTATAAGAAATATTAATCAAACATTAAATAACAGTGCTGCAGTTACTGATACAAGCACTAATCAAAATAATTTAATTTTAAATAATATTAATACAATTAACAATATGGCTCAATTTAAACCTGAGTACTTAAATTGCGTACCACAATTCGATGGTAACCCTAACGATTTGAATAGATATTTGGCAGTATGCCAAAGTTTAATTGATAATTTCTATGATGCAAATCAACCAAACCATTTTCAAAATATTTACTTGATAAATTGCATCATTGGAAAACTAACTGGGAACGCAAAATTGATCCTAGGTACAGAAAATGTTACTACTTGGGATAATTTGAAATTAACTTTGAGCAGGCATTTTGCAGATCAAAGAGACGAGGCATGTTTAAACAGAGATCTCGTAATGTTGAGACAACAAAACTCAGAAAAGCCTAGTCAATATTATGACAGGGT